TGCAGTGCCTCAGTCGACTCAGTACCAGGGGGGGCAGACGCACTAGCACCTAGAGCAGCAGCCTCACCAGCACCTAGGGTAGCAGACACTCTAGCACCTAGAGCGGCGGCCTCACCGGTTCGAATGCCCGGGTCGGGCGGAACACGCAGGTAGTGAGCACCCTCTCCACTAATAGACATCACATACATGGCAGTGAGAATAGCATCAAAGTCTAGAGCAAAGATATCAATGTTTTGCTTCATCAGATCAGCCCAGCGGGGCAGCTCAGTGGCATCAGGGAACTGAGTACGCCAAGCGTCGTCGAGGCGTGAGAAGCAGCGTTGCGTGGGGTGCGCCCTCTCACACGTCTGACCAGTGCGGTCACCAGTGCGGATGACGTACGTGCAGCTAAGGCCACCCCCTCCCCCCCCCCCCCGTGTTGAGCGTACCACTCACGGAGCTCCTGGGGCGACGGAGTGTGCTGCAGGCTCTGGCCACCGCCAGTGCCTCCACGACCACCACCGCCGCCGCCACCTCCTCGACCACCCCCTCCCCTGCCGCCGCCGCGTCCACCGCCGCCCCCACCACCGCCCCCGCCCCTGCCACCTCCCCCGCCGCTGCCGCCACCACCCCCACCACTGCCACTGGTCCCCCCAGCCCCACCACCACCCCCACCGCCGCCACCACCCCCACCACTGCCTCCCCCGTCGTCACCTCCGCCTCCCTTGCCCCCTTTGCCCTTGCCGCTGCGGCGCCCGCTCGAAGCCGACGCAGTCCCGACCCTCTCAATACCAAGGAGGTCGACAGCAGAAGCAGAGGCTACAGAGTGAAGAAGGGGGGAAGGGGAACACCCCTCAAAGAAAGGGGTGCGGGGGTCGCCACGAGAGGCACCTACAGCGACTATGCTAGCCTCAGCTGCAAGCAGTTCCTTCTCGAGGAGGGCAATGGTGAGCTCAGTGGGGCAGCGAGCTAGGAAGTGATCCCTGACAGCACGTAGAGTGTCAGGGAGGCGTGTGACTAGGTGGTAGAGAGTGAGCCAGAGCGGGGGAGGGTTCTTGGCAAGAAACTCATCGGGCATGGCGGCACGGAAGCGGGCCTCACTAGTACGGAGGTGCGTGATGAGGTCAGCAACTGTGTGGAACGAGGCCAGGTCGGGAAACAGGTAGGGGAGTGAGAGACGGCCTAGCGCGGCAGAGGCAGGTGAGGAGTAGCAGGCAACGACAGCGGTGTATAGTGCCTGTGCAGTCTTGTGCTGGCCAAAATGCTCGCGCTCATCTATCGGCAGGGAGTTGCGAATAGCGAAGCGAGCATGGGCGTCACGAGTCTGCCACTGTGAGCGGGCAGTGCTGTCAGCAGTAGCAGCAGGAGCAGTAGCATGGCCTAGAGCATGATCGTACAGTGAGATGTCCTCCTTGGCAGTGAGCTATAGGAAGAGGTGTAGGTCATCTAGCCAGGTTTCGAACTTCACTTGGCGGCCCTCAGCATCGAAAGCTAGCACAGGAGGGCTAGCCATAGCAGTAGTAGGAGTAGCAGTAGAGTAGCAGTAGTAGCAGTAGGAGCACCCTAAACACAGTAGGCAGTGCGACTCAGGTAGGGCGGCTCGGTCCAGTACGGGCGGCGCGGCTCGGTTCAGGTAGGGCGGCGCGGCTCGGGTAGGGCGGCGCGGCTAGGTTCGGGCGCCGCGGCTCGGTTCGAGCTGGGCGGCTCGGTTCGAGCTGGGCGGCTCGGTTCGGGCGGCTCGGTTCGGGCTGGGCGGCTCGGTTCGGGCTGCTCGGTTCGGGTGGCTCATTCTGGCGGGGCCGTGGGTGTCGCGTGCAGGGTGCTAAGGGGCGGCGCGTGGGGTCGAGGGGGCCGACGGGGCCGCTAAGAGGTGGGCGCGCGTGGGGCATACGGGGCCGACGGGGCCTCTAAGCGGGTCGCGCGTGGGGTCGACGGGGCCAGCGGGGCCTCTAAGGGGCGGCGCGCGGGGTCAACGGGGCCAGTGGGGCCTCTAAGGGGCGGTGCGCAGGGCCGACGGGGCCTCTAAGGGGCGGCGCGCGGGTCGCTAAGGGGCGGGTCGCGGGTCGTAGGGCCTTAAGGGGCCGTTAAGGAGGGGGCGCACGAGGGCGCTAGTAGGTAGCGAGGAAACGGAACGGTGGGCCCTTAGAACGTTCGGTCCTAGGTTCCTAACCTAGGCTCGTAATACCATGTTAGAATGAGAGAAGTGTGTGAACAAGAAAGGAATGGGAGTACAAGTACCTAACCCTACAATGATGTACCCCCTAAAGGCTAACCCACTGTAGCCTACACAAATATAACACATATATTGTTTGACAGAGGTCCGACAGCCGCGCATCCCAGCCTGAGCTAGCATCTGCTTCTGGTGATTGATGGCCAACTGGTGCTTGTTCGTCGCGGCATGCCGCTTGAAGGCTTGGGTCTGAAGATCGGTTGCACCGTGCCCACTCTTGCCACACTTGCCACCGTCACCTGCAAAGTCGATGCACAATCTGCACTTGAACGCAGGCATGCCAGCAGTGTTTTTTATGAGGATGAGCCATGGGTAGTCGGTCGACCACGTCGACTTGAACGTTTCAAGGGCCTCTTCATAAATCAGAGTGGTTAGTGACGGTTTTTTAGAGTTAGATGGCGTGGGCGTAACGTGGTTTACCGACTCGCCGGCATCAGCGAGAGGACGTCCAGGATCTGTAGGATCGGCCCAACGGAGCACGGCCTGCTTGTAACGAGGCGGAGGCTTCGACGACGACGCACGAGATGGCAAGCGGACGCTCGGTCCGGCTGCTGACGGCACGGCCGGCTTAGCAGTATGCGCGGGCTGGGGACGATCGTCTCCGCGGCAGAGGCCAGACGCTTCACCAGTGTTTGCTACTGAGGCGACGGGGCCTGGATTCTCTTTTTTCATGGGAGAGCGCGGAAACTATAAAATCTAGTCCCGTTCTGGCCTCCAGCATCTCGGTGGCGGCGTAAAGTGCATCGTCGTCATCATCACCGCAGCTGTTCTCACCGGTAATCGCCATGGCGCGTTCACGTCACCTTCCTGAATCGGTGAGTAGTAACAAGAAACCCTGGGAGAGAGAGAGCCTGCCGAGCAGGCTTCAGGGAGACTGCAGAGATTGATGTTTCGGAAAGGGATGGAGTCTGGAGAGCTGGAATGGCAGAATCACGAGACCCCCTGCGTGGGGTGCCTGAGCGGGCCGCCCCAGCACGCCCTGCCTTGGTGGAAAGAACAAGGCAGACCACTGGCCCACTGGGCCACTAGGCTTGGTTGTTTGTACACATCAATGGAAAGTAATGACAAGTGTAGGTTATCCAACGTGACAACGGTACATTGCTTCAGCTAGGACAGCCAATCTCTTTACGCCGTTTTGCCAACACAGCCCGAAATTAACCTGTTCAACTGTATCTGGGCGCGCCGCAGGGTGGCGTCGGTGCAGGGTGGGTTCATGCATGATGACGGCGCGCAAAACTGCGAGAATCACGGAGTTTTCGGTTTCAGGGTCGTCTCAGATACAACACTGACTCGTCAGTGTCGACAAACTAGAAACACTGGAAAATCAGGATTAGGAAAAGAAAAACACTGATTCATCAGGGTTGTAAAAACAAAAAGGCTGATTCATCAGGGTTACAATAAAAAACCGGGGTCAAACATCAGGAAATCAGGGTAAAATTCCTGGAATCTGAGGCCCTGATGGCAGCATATGCTGTACATACGCGTCACAATCGATTCGGACACTTTCTTTGAGAAAGTGTCCGCAGCGGAATGTACCCTCATAACAAATTCCTTCATGTAACGTAGCATTCACATCACATTACAATGCGTACACCACAGTCACATCAAGGAACAACCAAGTGTAACAAGTACCGGTAAATAAGTGCCCGTTCCAGCAGTGGCTTTCAGTGTGCCTTTCAGGGTGTCCCAGCCCAACACAGGGGAACATTCTAGTGAGGAGTGTCTGAATACTGCTGAATCATTCAACCGCCACTGCTCATCATCAGCAGCAGGACCACCGAGTACCATCTGGTGGTTACCACACTCCCTTGATGTTTGCCTCCCTCCTCGCTCATCCTCATCCCCTCTCCCCCTCCTCTCGCTCTCACTGTTGCCCCCATCCCATCCCCACCACCACCCCTCCCACCCCTTCCGCCACCACTGCCACCACCACTACTGCCACTGTCTGCCCTGTGCTGTGCTCCCGCTGCGTTTTGTGCCCATCTCCCTCATTTTCACTTCCATCCGCCCTTCCACCACCACCCCTCTCCCCCTGTCCACCAACTCTGCCGATTCTCATATCTGGACCCATAACAACCGCTCAAAATCCCTGTATGTCACTCTGAACAGCTTTGAATCACGTGGAATCGGTCTGAACCGCTTGGAAACGTTTCAAATCACTCGGAATCGCTCTCAATAATCCCACGCCTGTGGCCTCTTCCTCCCCCTCCCCCTCCCCCTCCCTCTCTCTCCTCATCACTCTCAAACCGCGCCCCTCCTTGCCTCCCTCCTCGCTCATCCTCCTCCCCTCTTCCCCTCATGTCACTCTCACTCTCACTGTTACCCCCATCCCCACCACCACCCCTTCCACCCCTTCCGCCACCACCGCCACCACCACTACTGCCACTGTCTTCCCTGTGCTCCTGCTGCCTCCTCCGCCCGTCTCCCTCATCATCATCACTCCCATCCGCTCTCCCACCACCACCCCTCTCCCCCCTTCCCCCTCTCTCTCCCCTCTCCTCTCTCTCCCCACTCCCATACCTCCGCCTCTTCTCCCTCCTCTCCTCCTCATCTTCCTCCTCCTCCTCGTCTCTTCCCCTTCTCGCCCCCCTCCCTCTCCTTCCCTCGTGCTCCTCCTCCCCCTCATCATCCTCCTCACGTCTCCGCCTCTCCCTTCCCCCATCCTCCTCCTCTGCGTCTTCCCCTGATCGGTTCCGTACTGTGATCTGGTGGAAGGGAGGGAGCAGCAAGTGTGCAGAGAAGGGAACATACGTGCAAGACACTTAAGAGAATTCTCAAAAAGCATCTCTCGTCATCCTCCTCTGCGTCTTCCCCTGATCGGTTCCGTACTGTGATCTGATGGAAGGGAGGGAGCAGCAAGTGTGCAGAGAAGGGAACATACGTGCAAGACACTTAAGAGAATTCTCAAAAGCAATCTCTCATCCTCCTCCTCTGCGTCTTCCCCTGATCGGTTTCGCACTATCTGATGGAAGGGTGGGAGCAGCAAGTGTGCAAAAAAGGGGGGCACTGGTATATACCCAGATGCTTATAATTTTTGTGCCAGAATCCATCAGAATGTGCCTACCTCGCAAACGCTCTCCTGCACAAACCTGTTACTGATGCATAAAAAAAAAAAAAAAAAAAAAAAAAAAAAAAAAAAAAAAAAAAACGCAGTCTGGCCGGCAAGCACAGCATTTGGGCAAGAAGCACAACATATGGGCGGCAAGCACAATGAAATACCTTGGAGGGAACGGGCAACTCCACTCTCTCTCCCTCCTCGCCCTTCGCCTTGCCTCCCTCCTTGGCCTTTCTCTTTGCCACTGTGAGCTTCGTGTTGATTGGCTGGGGGAACATGAGGGGACAGGAGCATGATGAGAGGGCGCAGAGAAAGAAACGAGATCAGTGGAAAGAAAACATTATTCTTTCTGCAATAAGCATCAACATGCATCTTATCTTTGCATTGTAGGCACATCCATGCACAATGGAAGGTTTGACCCAGGAGTTGACTCGCAATAAAGGTTTTGACCCAGGAGTTGACTCACAATACAGGGTTTGACCCAGGAGTTGACTCACAATACAAAGTTTGACCCAGGAGTTGACTCACGAGGTAATTCACACTGTCCTTGTTGAAACAGAAGAGGAAGGTTCCTCGACCTTGCTCCCCCTTGGCCACCTGAGAGAGAGAGAGTGAGAACCAGGTGGAGCGTAACAGTGAAGGGGTGGAGACGGGTTGGGTTGGGTTGAGGGGAAAAAAGTTCCTCGCCCTGGGTCCCCTTTAGCCACCTGGGAGAACAAGAGTGAGAAAAACGTGAAGAGTAAGTGGAGGTCTGGGGTGCAGACGGGTTGAAGGGGCGGAGCAAAATGCGGAAAGAATACCGCAAGCGGAAAAATACTAGCCTTCAGTTTACACTGAGTGAGGCTGAAGCAGAAAAACGAGTCAAAACGCAAGCACGCACTCACTTCACCTAATCTCTAAAAGAGATAATTGCATGTATGATCCATACCTTCCAGTGGTATTCTCGCACCCAGTCATACCGAGCACTCTCCCCTTCCCTCAGCTTCCTCCCCAGCTGCATTCAGAGGCGACGGATGGGGAAGAAAGGCGGGAATATTTAAAAAGAAGCACGTGCAGGTTAGCAAAGTTACAATACAACAACTGTACGGAATACACTGAACGCACGTCGCACGATGGGCCTAAACCATCGCAGGATTCGTTCCACTTCACTGTGCACCTATTTTTGAGACGTCTCAAAAGTTGTTTTTGAGACGATTCAAAAGTTGTTTTTGAGACGATTCAAAAGTTGTTTTTGAGACGTCTCAAAAGTCGCACGATGGGCCTAAACCATCGCAGGATTCGTTCCACTTCACGTGAAAAAAGGAGTGGTTTGAGACGTCTCAAAATGCTCCTTTTTTCACGTTCGTTCCACTTCACAGGTGCACCTGTTGAGACCCTAGGACCTAAACCATGTGGGACAACCATGTGGGACATGAACGACTGTCTCTCTGCTCTCCCCCCCTCTTTTGCAGGAGCCTCAACTGTTAGGACCACGACAACCTCAGTCAAACTCAGTCAACCTCAGTTAACTTCTGTCAAACTCAGTCAACCTCAGTCAACCTCTGTCAAGCTCAGTCAACCTCAGTCAACTCACCTCGCGCTTGTTGGGCACCATGTAGGCCACAAACGACTGTGGCTCCCCTCCCCCTCCACGGTGAGAGTGTGGCTCACCTCACTCAACCTCACTCAATCTCTCACCTCGCGCTTGTTGGGAACCATGTAGGCCACAAACGACTGTGGCTCCCCTCCCCCCGGTGCTGCCACCTTGAAATTCTTCATGATCGCCTGGAGATGGGGGGAGAGGGAGGAAAAGGCTCCGGAGGGAGGCAGGGAGGGAGGCAAGGCGAGGGACAAAGGCAGGGGAGAATGCACAGAGGAAGGCCAGGGAGGAAGGGATGGAGGAAATGAAATGGATGGGCGCATGTGTGATGGTGCGTGTACGAGACAAAGCAGAACTCCCCTCCCTCTCGAAGAGTCACTCGCCCAGGCCTCCATCTCTTTCTTCTCCACCCCCTCCCATTCCCTCCCATCCCATTTCATTCCACCTTGCACCAAATTCCCTGGAGAAAACCCCATTCCACCCCAAGACTGCAGACTCACCCGCGCCTCCATTTCTTTCTTCTGCTCCTCCTTCAAGTGCATGTGTGCAGGCGAATCCGCAAGAGGCGTGTCGTCAAACACGAGGTGCACAAACTGGCGGCCCGCCGGGGAGAAGAGCGGCAGCACCGGCAGCACCTCCACTGCCTCCAGGCTCGGGTTCGATGGGTGCACGGGCGGCTTCCGGGCAGCACCCATCATTCCATTCCCCCACCCACCGTGCAACATACCATTGAATACCCTGCTGCCCCACACGCACTCACCCTGGCCTCCATTTCCTTCTTCTGCTCCTCCTTCAGATGCATGTGTGCAGGCGAATCCGCAAGAGGCGTGTCGTCAAACACGAGGTGCACAAACTGGCGGCCCGCCAGGGAGAACAGCGGCAGCACCGGCAACACCTCCACTGCCTCCAGGCTCGGGTTTGACGGGTGCACGGGCGGCTTCCGGGCAGCCTGAAAAGATTCCTCGATGTACCGGATCTGCCCCTCCCTGCGAGGGGTGGGAAAAAGTGTAGGGAGGAGAGAGTGTTTGCAAGCATTGCAGGCAAGAAATCAATTTGAGTCAGGTTGAGTCGAGTGGAAAGGCAGGTGAAGGAAAAAGGGGAATGAATACGTGGACTTGTTCATGCCCTATGTATATTTCATAAAACAATAACTTCTTTTCCATAAACATATGTAAACATGCATACAAATACATGTACACTCACCTTGTACTGTACATCTGCTCATCTGCCAACTCCAGCTGCAGCGCCAGCAGCTTCGCCTCCTTCTCATTAAGCACCCTCTGTACAGGCACACACACGAGTGAGAAGGGTGGGGACAAAAACAGCAAGCGGAGTGACAAATCGGGGCAATGGGAGCAGTGAAAAGAGTCAAGGTCAGCCCAGCACAGGCGATGGGAAAGAGTCAAGCTCACCCTCTGTACAGGCACACACGAGTGAGAGGAGTGAGAAATCGGGGGAATGGGAGCAGGGGAACGAGTCAAGGTCAGCCCAGCACAGGCGATGGGAAAAAGTCAAGCTCAGCCCAGCACAGGCGATGGGAAAGAGTCAAGCTCAGCCCAGCACAGGCGATGGGAAAGAGTCAAGCTCAGCCCAGCACAGGCATCCCAGCCTGGTTCACACCAGTTCAATTCAGAATCCACAGACCAGCCATGGACTCACCTTCTTAGGCGCACTGCCAGAGCCAGCAGCGGAGATGTACTGAGTGTGCACCAGCCAGCTCAGCCCAGCTCAGCTCAGCTCAACCCAGCTCAGCCCAGCTCAGCCCAGCGCAACCCCCCAGTGGATTAGGTGTCCTTGCCTCAAATCGCATGCCCAGCCCAACAGGAACACGCCCACCTTCTTAGGAGCACTGCCAGAGCCTGCAGCGGAGATGTACTGAGTGTGCACGAGCCAGCTCAGCACAGCTCAGCCCAGCTCAGCCCAGCTCAGCCCAGCTCAGCCCAGCTCAGCCCAGCGTCTGTAGGCCTCTCCTTCACTCTCAGCGCGCCCGTCCCACCCGCCCCCCCTGCTGCCGCCCCCCTGGCCTCCCTCCCTCCCCAAACCAACACTCACCTTCTTGGGAGCACTGCCAGAGCCTGCAGCGGAGATGTACTGAGAGTGAACGAGCCAGCTCAGCCCAGCTCAGCCCAACACAGGTCAGTTCACATCACACCATTCAACCCAGCAGCACCTGCCTGCCATGCCATGGACTCACCTTCTTGGGAGCACTGCCAGAGCCAGCAGCGGAGATGTACTGAGTGTGCACGAGCCAGCTCAGCCCAGCATCAGTAGGTCTCTCCTTCACTCGCAACGCACCCGCCCCCCCTGCTGCTGCCCCCGCGCCCTCCCTGTGCTTCACACTCGCATCATCGTCCCTCAGGAGTTCCGCGTCTGCCGGGTGGAGTGGTGGGCGCTGAGAGGGGGGCGGGGCGCTGGGGTGAGGGAAGAGAGGGGACGGGAAGGGGGCACAGGGGGAAGAAGGGCACAGGGGGGGAAGGATGAGGGAAAAATGCGCCTCAAAAGGGCGCTGAGAGAGGGGCGGGGCGCTGGGGTGAGGGACGAGAGGGGACGGCATTGGCCTCTGTGAAAGAGGCACTTCGACAGGGTATAATCCCCTGTCCTAAAAAAAAAAAAAAAAGAGGCATAGGGGAAGGGGCAGGATGAGGGCACAGGGAAGGGCATTGGTTTGGTTGTAAAGGGGGAAGCAGAACAGAAGAATCTGGCGTGGCGGTGTGAGGAGGAAATGTGACAGCAACGGCTCACCAGTAAGCGGATAGGTCGAAAAGGTCAGGGGGATATCCAGGTCTGGCTGCACGTGCAGGCAGTGGGGGTGATCCGCCTCAAGAGTCGACACGTGGTAGGCGGAGTACCGGTGGGGAGTGCACACGTGTGAATGGAAATAACTAACCAGTAGGTGGATAAGTCGAGCAGGTCAAGCAGAATCCCAAGGTCCGGCTCCACATGCAATCGGTGCCGGTGATCCGCCTCTAGAGTCGACACGTGGTAGGCGGAGTATCGGTGTGGGTCCATACCATACATGTGTGTGCTTCTACACCCACGCGTGACTGTGCCTACTCCTTACCAGTAGGCGGATAGGTCGAGCAGGTCCAATGGGATCCCTAAATCCGGCTCCACGTGCAGGCGATGCCGGTGGTCCGCCTCTAGAGTCGACACGTGGTAGGCCGAGTAGCGGTGTGGGTCCCCCCCCAGAGGCAGCAGCTTCGGCTGTGATGCTGGCTCGGGCAGGGTATTAGTGAACCTGAGGAAGGGGAGGAGGAGGGGGGTGAGTTGGGGAAGGTAGTGGGGGAGATAGAGAGTGTGAGGCGGAGTATCGGTGGGGGTCCCCCCCGAGAGGCAGCGGCTTCGGCTGTGAGTGATGCTGGCTCTGGTAGGCTGTTGGTGAACCTGCGAAGAGGGTAAACCATGGGGAAAGAGTGGGGGAGCGTGGGGGAGTGGGGGAGCGTGGGAGAGCGGTTGAGTATGAAAAGAGTGGGTGAATGTTGGGAAGTGTTGGGAAGAATTGGGAAGTGTGGGGGAAGGTGGGGAAATGTGCTAAAAGGAGGAACAGTGGGGTATGAGGGGGGATATTGGAGAAGCCCTTTAATAAACCCCTGGCCCTCACAACCCTCTCCACCACATCCCACCGCACTCCCCTCCCTCGCACCTCACTCTACACAGGAACGTCGACGGCCGTTTCAACCGGTTCTCGTCCTTAGCCCCCCCTGCTGCTGCGCCTGCTGCGCCGCTTCCCCCAACAGCTGCTCCCGCGGACGCGTCCCTACCCCGCGCGGGGACCAGCGCCCCGCTTCCCCCAACCCCCCCGCCCGCGTGGCTGCTCTTCTCCCCCTGCTGCTGCTGGTGCTGCTGCTGCTGCTGGTGATGCTGCTGTTGGTGTTGGTGCTGTTGCAGCTGGTGCTGCTGACTGTGCGGCTGTGATCCTGGTTGTGACGGCTTCTGCTGGTGATGCTGTGACTGTTGCGAGTGGTGACTATGCTGGTGCCTGTCTCTCCGCCCGCCGTCTCCACCATCCCCGCCAGCTCCGCGCTTGTCTCTCCGCCCATCCCCCCCTGCATGCCGGCCCTTCTCCGCCGACGGAGGATGCGGGCCGGAAGGGGGTGGCGGAAGTGCGAGAGTCCCCGAGCCGGATGGGGGAGGCGGGGGAGGCGGAAGCGCGGAATGCGCGGGTGGGAAGGGCGGGGGAGGGGGCAACGGGGGATCGGACGTGGGGGGAGGCGGGGGAGGAGGTGCTGGTTGGTGGGAGCCGGAGGGGGGAGGGGGGAGCGGCGGAGGAGGGGGAAGCGGAAGTTCTCCGCTGGTGGGCGGAGGAGGCGGAGGCGGAAGGGGAAGCGACTGATTAGGAGCGTAAGCAGAATTAGGAGCAGAATAGGACGATGCATTATGTGCGTTGGCGGCTCCGTATGGGTTGCCTGAATACGGCCCGGATGCTGGAAGCATGCCAGGTGGGGGACCAGGCGGAGGTCCAGGTGGCATTCCTGGATTGGTTAGATGCTGGGTATGCGCTCCAGAGCTCATACTGACACCGCTACCAGTAGTATCCCTTATAAGCTGACGCAACTTCGAGTGGTACGACAGCTAATAGTAGGAAACGAGATGTATTGGTCCAGATTGATAGTCTCCTCGAACTCCTCGATACTAACTACGAAACCACGGCAACTGGCCACGAGGGAAACTTTTGAGTCGACTCAAGAGTGCACGTGGCATTATCCTGAGCTATTTGTACCCCGAGTCTCGTGGCGACTGGATTGATCCTAATTCGTGAGCGTGGATTATAACGAGGACAAAGCAATCTCCTTGTATTTGGACTGCGCCGACCGAAACGTACCCGCCTCTAAGATTTAAGATCGCTAAAGGTAAGTTCGTCTGGGCAAGCTGAATCAACGCGCAAGAAATCTAGGTCTACATGCTAGCATGCGGTCTGCTTTACAGAGTCACTGAAGTTGCGCTTTATGCTTTCTATCCGGTCAATAACGGTTGAGTGCATTGCTGTGCACAATCAGGCTTCGCTTTAATTTGACCGCTTTGAACTGCTGTGCACCTGTGAACAAACTAATGACAGTTTCTCCTAAACAAAATCAAGATCAGGTCTTGGGAACACCGAGGCGGGACTCAATACAGAGAAAAACAGAAGTGAATGTTTGCATATATACATATATTGGACATATCAAGTAGGTATCCGTCCACTCCTGCTGCTGGTGCGGTAAGAGAAGCTTAAGTGCACTTCACAATGTTTACAAGATATGTTAGAAACCAAACAAGCAAAATCATAGCAATTCTTTCGCCCTCATAAGCTCAAACGGGAGCTACCGCCATGCTACTCCACAAACCCAACACCTTAGAAACACTTTTCCCCTTCTGCGAACCATTATCCTGACCAGCAGCACCCGCATTGGCAGCAGCAGCAGCAGTGGCGACAGCCTTTAACCTTGCCTGTTCCGCAATATTCCTCGCTTCAATGTTTGTTGCCTCCACACACAGGTCATGGAAGAGACCTCGCATTTGGGCTGTTATGATGTACCCCAATATATACTGGGCTGTTAGAATGCATGAGAAAGGGGGCAGCACGAAAGGAAAATAGAAGACAAGGATGAAGCCTGGGATATACAAAGTTACAAGGACTAGAAGTTGCAAGGGAAGCAACTGAGTGTGCACTCATACACACTCCGGCAGAAGCACATGAATGCTGGGGCGCAGTGCAACAACCACATGAGGAATGGAGCGAGCATAGGTAGAAGCAATGGGGCACGCACGCACACTTGGGGGCAGGCAGGGGAGGCAGGGCACTCACTCAAAGGACCAAGCGGCAAGTTGGATGGTTCGACCCTCTGGACGATCTCGATCTCCGACCCACAATCCGACGGTCCACATTTCACCAGCTCCGAAGCACCACCTGCAGACACGCCACCCTTCCACTGAACGACCCCTCCTATTTTAGCTCCTCCTCCCATGCTCCCTACTGCTCCTCCTGTTCCTGCTCCTGCTGCTACTGGTGCTCCTACTGCTCCTGCTGCCGCAACCATGGGCACAGCACCAGCAGCTCCATCACCCATCCTTGGCCATCCACCCATAATCCCCCCTCCTACCCCCTCGCCTTCGATCCGAGGCTCGCCCACAGCCACTCGGCCGAACGCCAGCAGCTGAGCAGGGAAGCGGCCGAGGGGAATCGCCTGCTGAAGCTGTAGCAGCCGCTGCTGTAGCGGGAGGCGCGGCTGTAGCGGCTTCATCTGTAGCGCCGGATGCAAGGACTTAGGCTGAGGTGCATGGGGCTGTAGCTCTGGCTGTAGCAGAGGCTGGGGGCGGCTGATAGCGCGTGTGCCGGGAACGGTGAGAGGCAGGGAGGAGGAGGATGGTGGGGCGTGAGGGAGGGAAAGGCTGCGGATGGTTGATGTGCCGACAAAATCTTTCATGAATCCAGGAGATGCCCTGAGAGCGAGAGAGAGCGAGAGAGCGAGAGAGAGAGAGAGAGCGAGAGAGAGAGAGAGAGAGAGAGAGAGAGAGAGAGAGAGAGAGAGAGAGAGAGAGAGAGAGAGAGAGAGAGAGAGAGAGAGAGAGAGAGAGAGCGAGAGAGAGAGCGAGAGAGAGCGAGAGAGAGAGCGAGAGAGAGCGAGAGAGAGAGCGAGAGAGAGCGAGAGAGAGCGAGAGAGGGCGAGAGAGGGCGAGAGAGGGCGAGAGAGGGCGAGAGAGGGCAAGAGAGGGCGAGAGAGAGAGCGAGAGAGAGAGCGAGAGAGAGAGCGAGAGAGAGAGCGAGAGCGAGAGCGAGAGCGAGAGCGAGAGCGAGAGCGAGAGAGAGAGAGCGAGAGCGAGAGCGAGAGCGAGAGCGAGAGCGAGAGCGAGAGAGAGAGAGAGAGAGAGAGAGAGAGAGAGAGAGAGAGAGAGAGAGAGAGAGAGAGAGAGAGAGAGAGAGAGAGAGAGAGAGAGAGAGAGAGAGAGAGAGAGAGAGAGAGAGAGAGAGAGAGAGAGAGAGGAAGGGAGGAAGGGAGGAAGGGAGGGGAAAGGAGACATGGAAACGGAAAGCGGAGTGAGGTTATGATCGGAGTTGTTTCTAAAAAGAAAAAGAAAAGAAAGAAAGAAAGAAAAAAAAGCTTCGATTGAAGCAAATGAGACTGGTGCAGCCGACAAATCATCTGGAACTTCCAGACGAAAGTGCGGGCCCAATTTTAAGCACATGCGGAACTCACAGTCGGTACGTGATAGTGCGCGTCGCGTCGTCGCAGTGGCAATAGAGCGCCAGGTCGAATTTCCCCGAGAACAGCTGGAACCGCCACTTGACGTTCTGCACGACGAGTAAGCTTCCGTCGGGCTGCGGCACGGAGGAGCACTTGTCCATGTGGCGGAAGATAGCGGGGCCGCGCTTGAAGTCGCGCAGGAGCCCGTAGATCACGCCTGGGGGGTGCCGGGATTTCATGCCCGCTGCTATGCGGTAGCTGTCCACTTTCCCCTCCTGGTGCGGGTGATGCAGGGGGGGGAGGCATGGGGGGAAGGCAGATGGGAAACATCTCTCTCAAAATCCTCACCTCGGGTATCAGCTCGACGCGCATTGGCTCCACCAGCCCTTGAGTTTCACGACACATTGCGGTGGTTTTGAGGGAGTTCTCAAGGCCACCCCGCAACCTCGTGTCGACGACGTCGTGTGTTAAACGTTTTGCGACAAGCAGACGCGCACTGGCTCCAGCAGTCGTGGGAAGGAGACTGAGAAATAGCAAGGGGTAAAAAGAGCTTCGCGTAGAGGGAAACATCGCTTATGGAAACAACTCTATCAAGAGCCTCGTGTCAAGCGACCCTCACCTCGGGTATCAGCTCGATGCGCATCGGCTCCAGCAGTCCCGGCGTCGCCGCAAGTTCCGCCTGCACCGCATCTTCCGCTGTCGATGGCGCCGCGCGGTTTCCGCTCGACTGCGCCCATTTGCGGCGGCTTCGGCTCGAACTTCCCGCAGACGCCGCCGCGTCGGTCGCGGATGCTTTTCCTCCTTTACCGCCTCGCCGTTCTCCTGAAGAGCCGCCGCGAATGGTGGACGCTCGCTGGGCTGAAATGCGACTTTCTCCGTGGCCGTCAGTGCCGCCGGCAGCAGTTAACTTAACTGATCTCCGCTTGCTGGCGAAATCGCGTGTGCTGACGGTTTGAAACATCGTGAATGGCTGTCGCACGCTAGGCACTTGACTTACGGTCCCTCGGCTGCCTTACAGTCCGCGTAGTCTCCTTCGCCGAATGCAGGCGGAAAGGTCGTCGCCTTCGAATGCGGCGTCGAATTCGGAATGCGGCAGTGAGATGCCTGTATCAGCGCGAGTCGCAGCTGAGCTACCGACTTGGCGCTAGGCAGAACTAGCAGATTCAGTCAGTACTGAGAATCGCAATGTGGGAAAACCCGCGGCGCGGACGGAGGGAGGCGGACTGGCGGTCGAGGTGAGGATGGCAAGTACGGAGCGTGACAGCGAAAATGACAGCAACGGGAGCTTGCTGGGATAAGAAGTGATCGCTGTGAAAGTGACAGGTGGTACAGTGGCGGGAAGGGATTGATGACGAGAAAGGAAGAACACTGGCGCAGTTTATTGGCCTCAGGATTGACGAGGTAGGGGGAGGGGAGATGAGGCGGGGCAGTTGAGTGGGAGAGGGAGGTGTATACAGCGGATGGATGGTAGGAGACAGACCAGACCCGACCGGACACCCCAAGAAAACGACGCACCGCGCGCGCTCACCGAGTTTCGCTAGCTGTCGCTAGTGCCGCCACGGGTGAATTTATCGAGGTTTTGTGTTGAGGACAGGACAACGACGAGTAACCACTTCTGCGAAGAGAAAAAGTTTTGCGGTTTCTGGTTGATAGTTCGTGAAAAAATTATACGGGCAGTCACAAATTTTCCCGTTTTATCACGTTCGGTCACAGGGATATCACAAGCAGTCACAGTGCAGTAGATTTCTATCGCGGGTGATCACAGTGCTATCGCGGATGGTCACACCTCGCCCCGAAAAGCTATCACGTTTGGTCACTCGATGAGACGATCGTAAAAAAATTGAAACCAGGAAAGAAACTGTAGAGATTCAGGGGAATCCCAATTTTGATAGCTTGCTACCTCGCGCATGATTCTAGCCTGACATTTAGGGGACTGAAAAAAAAAATATAAACCCCTATAGGATGGCATGTTCTTCGGGAGATACTGTTAGGGACATTATACAACAAATTGCATATGTTTTTGACGAGTTACCGAAAGCTGTCGCGAAACTACGGACAAAACTGCGCGCGTGAGAAAACTTTCCTTGAATCCCTACAGTGACTTGAGTAGTTTCAACTTTCTATCAAGGTTTCTACGAGTGACCAAACGTGATAGCTTTTCGGGGCGAGGAGTGACAATCCGTGATAGCACTGTGAACACCTGCGATACGAATCTACAGTACTGTGACTGTTTGTGATACCCCTGTGACCAAACGTAATAAACCGGGCTTAATTGTGACTGTCTATATAATATCCCTAGTTCGTGAGGTAGGGGGAAGCGTTCACACTTGCGGATATCATTTCTTGTCTCGTTCCGCAGCAGCCAACCACAAAGCCCTCGTGGCGTGGATGCGCGTGGTTGGAGGAAGGGGCTCCGAAAGCCCTGCAACCCTACATTCCCTCTTTTGCGGTGCGTCTGTGGCGTGCTACAATTGGTTGTGAACTCATCTTAGACTTGTAGCCACAAATACCAACCATAAGCGGTGGGGCTGGAATCGCGGCTGGGGTTGTGTGGTCGTGCACGATGTAGGGCGGATGGCGTAGGTCGGCCATACTCCTTTATACTGTTCTAGCTAGGGTTGACGCTAGCTATGACCCTTCTCGGATCTTGCTCGACGTACTCATTATGTGCCTCTCCGTCAAAGAAATAGCTCTTGTACCTCACGTTGAATCGAGTGTTTTTGTGATAACCGTAAGGCCTTATTATACCAGCCCATGCCACTTCGTGAACCAGAAAATGTAGTGCAGCTTTGCTTCTCCAAATCCATGACCCCGCCAGCACAGCTACATCAGACGTCCACATGTATTCTAGCCCAAATGTCATCAGACTGGCAGACATCCTAGTCAGCGTGACCTCTACCTGAAGTGTCAACACGACTCATTGCATGTCACCTCGGCAAAAGCTATGCTTGGTGGTGTAGGGGAAAGCCCAAACCAGGTCAGCACAAGACATCACGTCACCTACACGAAAGCGGAGCTGCTTGCTGCTGCTGCAGCTGCTGCTGCTGTGGTGGAACCCTGAAACCGTGCATTCCCTAGGCAGACCGCAGCGCGTTCGAGTCATGGGCTGAAGCCTAGACAACACCATTTTCAACATGCCATGCTTCGGCCATGGCATGTGGAGGGTTCACAGGAATGCCCGAATAACAAGAAAACGGCATGTGAATAGAATTCGATCCCAGCCGTTCACTTTACGATCTCTCGTGACATCATGATGCGACGCGCTTGTCAAAGCTTGATCACACCGTGACGCCATCCGCCGTGGCAGCAACATGAGCGCGACAGCGCATTTCCCCGCAGCGGCGCGGAGTGCCACGCAGTGTCGCAAATTAGCGGGGAGCGACGGTGTTTGCCAAGAGGAAGTTTCACTTCGTTGGGCAAATGGTATCGGTTGGTATCGGTAGTTCTACGGAGCAGCGTACATAACCCGAGTGAGCAAACGCGAGGGAGGGAACGAGCAGCTGGAGGCTGGAGCACGGGAGATGGCTTCACAAGGCGACCCAGTCAGTTCGAGAGGATATAAGAGAGGAAGAAGGGGATAGACGAGAAACAGTTGAAACAGTCGGAGAACTCTCATCCATACAAGCAAGGTCTTTTGCGTGATTTTCGTCACATATTCTTAATCTGCGACGGTTCTACTATTACTAGGCTCTTGAGATACGCGGATACAAGAACCAAGGACAGTCCTAGAGCAGGCCTCTGAATATTCTGCCATATTTCAACCTTTCACCTCAGTCTTTTTAGCCTACTACTCGTAGCGAGAGACATAACATAAGTATCTCAATATTCTGGTGGTAACCACATGGCGTCTGCACACCACAGCTTTCGCAGCCTTTCGCTAGACTCGGGGTCGAAGCCCCCTGCCGTGCAGCAGGAGGCGAGTCGCGCCTTAGGTCTCTACGACGACCCTGGCGAGCTCCTTAATCCGCTGGACCAGGGCGCGTTCTTCAGCGCCGTGGCTGCTGGTAACGTGGACGGCGTCGCAGCGCTTCTGAAGCATAGGAAGGTTGACATTAACGAGTACAACGGACAGGTGCGCGGAAGGGAGGGAGGGAGGAGGGAGGGAGAGGAGAAAGAAAGGGGGACGAGTGAGGGAGAAAATGGGTGAGTGTGCCTGCGCTTTTGCAACATATCGTCGACATTAAAAAGTACCAAAAATATCCGCAGTGCTGCTGCTGCTGCGTCTACCGCGCTATGTAAGTTCATAATAAAACCATTGTGCTTCTACAACTCCTCCGTCCATTCTGTTTGTGCCCGTTGCCTCTCGTTCCCGTGTACAACTTTGAATTCTCCCGAACTGTGGCGCCATAGACCATGGCGCGAAGGTCACCGTGCGAGCAGTTAGAACTCACTTTCCCCCTTCCTCTCCTTCATACAACCCCCCCCCCCCCCCCTCGTCTCGTCCCCAACCAGGGCGTGACAGCTATCTTTGTCGCAGTCTACAACTTCGAATCATCCCGCAGCGTCAGCATGGCGAAGCTTCTCCTAGACCACGGCGCCAAGGTCACCGTGCGCGCCGTGGACTCCCCCGCTGCCAGCAAGCTGTGCTACCTCAAGCATGAGTCCCCTACGGGGAGCCCGGGCAGTCCCAGGAGCCCCAGGAGCCCCAGGGGCATGGCGGCAGGGAGGAAGGACGAGACGCGCAAGGTCTCAGTGGCCAACAAGACACCTCTTCTGGTGAGATTCCGGAGAGTTCTGATTGAATCTTAGCTGCGTTTGCATTGCTTCTCATAGGCCATGGCGCCAAGGTCACCGTGCCGCGCGCCATGGACTCCCCCGCGGCCACGACTCGCCGCCCTCTGCTAGGTCTGGAAGCCCGGTAGGTTCGGGCAGCCCGGTAGGTTCGGGCAGCCTGTTCAGTCCCAGGAGCCCGAGGATTTCGAGAGGGCTGGTGGGGAGGAAGGACGAGACTCGCAAGGTGGCAGTGGCCAACAAGACGCCTCTGCTGGTGAGGTAACCGAGACTTTCAATGCCTTTTTTATACCTTTTGTTCTGGTGAGTCTTCTGGAAAAAGGCAAAAAAAACAAACAAACAAACACTCGCACGTCGCGTCTCTGGTGAATTTTCAGAACTGGAGAAGCACAACTAAATAGAGACTGCTCTATGCTGAGAGGCTGAGGCGGGGGCATTGCCCTTGACAGGGCATTCCAGACGACGATTACCCGCTCAATCATGCTCTGCCATCCCTCTTCGCCACTCTCCACCATCCTCCACTCCACACGTCTCTGAGGCCCAGCCTGTGATTGAAGGGCTGGGACTGTTGCCACTACGGCGCGATGCTGCACCTGCTTGGGTGAATCAATACCATGTACTGTTATCCCTCTTCACCACTCTTCACCACTTGTCGCTACTCTCCATCCTTCTCCACCCACAGGTGGCACTGGAGCTCAAGTCTAGCCTGTATCTGAAGGGCTGGGACTACCGCCATTGGGATGCCATGCTGGACCTGCTTGCTGACGCGACAGTTGCTGAGCTGGCAGGCCACCCGTTCCATGGGCCGGGGCCGGCGCAGCTGCCAGCTGTAGCAGACGGCTGGGCGGCGGTCTTTGGCAGTGGAGGGCATGAGCTGGTGGAGGTGTGGGCTGAGGGGAAGCACATTGATGTGTTGAAGATGCTTCTGGTGGTGCAGTCTAAGGTGAGATGCGGTGAAGTGTGGTGCGGTGCGCTGAGGTGGGGAGGGGCATGAGCTGGTGGAGGT